ACATGAAAGCCAGCCACCTCGAACATTTGAGGAATCTATGGTAGGGGATGCACAATATTATCAGCATTGTATCGGCCAATATTAGCGTTAAAGTTCAATATCGGACATCAGCCATTCTATCAAAATAACACCAATATAAAAGACGCTGTTTTTGTATGACAACCCAGTGACAAGTATGCCTGTAGCGCCAGCACAATGTGATGACATCACGTGCACTGATCTCATGGCTGAGAGGAAAATTCAAAATGTCAGTGGTGTAGAAGGTTTTTTTTTGTTGTTGTTGGTGAGAATGTCAGATTCTGAAAATTTTTGGACTACGTTGAGCCTCACTACATCGTCCCCAGTCTGAGATATTTTTCCAACATAACATTACCCGAGTTACAAGCCGTCATTTCCGACGCCATTGAGAAGCTAACAGTCGATAGCACGACTTGCTGGGTGAGTTTTATCACAGACATCTGGACGTCGTGTTAGCCCCGTTAGCATGATTAGTCTTACGGAACAATGGATAGACAAAAACTTTTAACTTAAAAAGGCTGTCCTTCATGCACAAAAGTGCAGAGGATCCCACACTGCAGCTAGGAACCTGGAACAAGCCTCCACAAGTGAGACAGCATCGCAGGTGACTAATGCTAATAAATAGCATTTAACACTTTCCATTTAATATAAGTTAAAGTGCTATGCATATCATATGGCTGTTACTGAATATATGTCACCAGCTCTTACAGCTGTTACACAATTTTTGTAGCAAATAAGCCTAAATAAGAGGGCTATGTTCTGACAAAGGAAAGTATATAAAATAGTGGTATTGACTATCGGCCAAATAAGTTTTAACATATCGGATATCGGCCAAATATCCAATACTGTGTATCCCTAATCTATGGTTTCTAGTTTTTGTGTTGCTTAAAAGTATAGTTTCCTCAAATGTTTGTCCACCCCCTGGCTCTGCCATTGCACCTGGTGATGGATAAAATGGCTCCCTTCACTCACGAGAATCACCTTTGTTCTTGTACACAGTTTAACACACTTAAATATCTTGCACCAAAAACATTAAGGTTTACTTGCATTCCCCGTTCAGTTCCAGTCCAGATAAACACTCATCTCCATCCATCCATTTTTTTACTTGAGATAAAAACTACAGTACGCATTTGGAAAAAAACAACAACACCTGGACAGGTAAAGTCCACACAGAATGACTTCAGTCAAAGATTAGAACCAGGAACCATTTTACCGTGAAGGAACCACCTGAAAGAATCATTTCTGTATGACTTCATTTGGCCTTGTTTGTGCACTGGAAACACAAAAAAGGAAAGAATGTTGGTTATCAGATACCGTGAACAAACATCCAGAAACCTATAGTAATTTAGACACTTAGAGGTTACCTGATACAGCTGGGAGTTTGTTAAATGTCAACACCACTACAATTATAAACTCTTTACAACCAGGATACAGGCTTTATGAAGTAAAGCACATCTAAATGTGAAGGTCAAATCACAGCCTGTAATTTAACTTTCAATCATGTATCGCCCTGAATGTTTCAGGGATCACCACAACCACAGTAGATTAGGACTCTCCCTGCAGGTTTGTCTACTAAGTTGATTGTAAAACAAATTAAGTATATTAATAAAACCTGTATCCAAAATGTGTGATACTAAATTAAACACTGTGTTTCCCCACAGAAATCATTCTCTCTGGTGTTGGAGGCTTTTGACTACGACAATGACACATCAGAACCAGGTAAAGCTGATTTTTATTTTATTAGTTTATTTAATTATTTGTCTGTCTGTACAGTACACTCAAAAACGAGTCATTATAATTGACTATGAGAATTGTATTTTCCTCACATTAGAAACTTTAGCAAAGCTTTCTGTTTTAATGAACCAGTTTATCTCTGTTTTGTTTTTTGCTCGTCTAAGATGTAAAACATTTGTCTAATTTTATCTGCCTTTTAAATGACCATTACCAGTAATTAATAGTTTAGTTCTGATGCATCACATACGTTAAGCTGCAGCTAGATCAGAGGGTGTCAATCATCTTTTCATATCAGAGATTATGTTTACAGACCTATACCTTGTTATTTTCTGATTTTTAAAGTAGTTTTGCTGCTTTGTGATGAAATTCCACCTTTCATGAACTCGTATTTCCTCTGAGTTCACAAACTTAACACTAGATTTAAAATATAGTTAGACATTTTAAAACGGCATCTTTATTTTTTCTTTATTGTTCATTGTGTGGAAAAAAAGTGAAAACATTTTCCTCTATGATGCGTATTCCCTCCATTTTGGGAAGAAAACCGCCGTTTCTAAGTTTAGTTTTCGACAAGAAATGTTTTCCTAACTCAAACAACATAAGAGCTTGTTTACCAGAAAGTGTGGCTCCACATGATGAAGCAATGTGAAAATGTTCTTCGTGTTTGAATGTTTCTGATCGTATAAGTTTAGTGGGTCTTTTATCTAGACCCTTTAATTTCCTGCTCGTCTCCTTGTTTGCTCCTCTCATAATCTGCGAAAGCTCCTTGACAGGAATCCTGAGCTGCTTGCTATTAAAAGCGTAACATAAAGACAGACAGATGTTCCTGTGCCTTCTCCCTTTTTTCAAGCCGCAATCCTCCTTTTTATCTCACCATCATCTTCCTCTCTGTCAGTGGAGAGAATGAACTCCGATCTGAGCAATGACAAATAATTTAAAAAATGAGTTTCTTGTTCTTTTTGTCTTACCTTCATCATCTGTCCTTCCTTCTGCCCTCCAGCTCTGTACTTACATCATGTTTACATTATCTTCCATTTCCACCTGAGCTCCTGACTACTCCTAGCATTGAGGCTAAAGCCAAGGAGCAGACCTGCAGCTTAGCCCAGCCCAAACACAGGTGTCCTACAGCAGTCTGAACGGACTTATCGGGCCTCCCTGTCAATCAGAGAGGATTACTGAGCTCAACTGTATCCTCTGAAACAGTCTTCGAAAACTCTGAGAAAATATGATTTCCTTTGAGCACCGACCGTCTGACCTTCACTGAGATTGCTTTAAACAAAATGTAGTTTTAATGTAAATGTGAAGGGACCCAATCTGGTTTTGATTAAAGTGTTATCCTAGTTTTAACCGTTTGGTCTTAGGTTTTGCATGGTGTTATTTCTTTACCTTTATTCTTACATGTAGGAAACATGATTTCTCCACTAAAATGTGATGAAGAAAAACAAGAAGTCAGGCAGGTTTATCTTAAACTGCTTATGCACAAATACAATGCATCATTAGTTGTACAGTAGTCTCTCACTTATCGCGGGGGTTATGTTCCAGACACCCCTACGATAGGTAAAAATCCGCAAAGTAGGAACGTTATAATTATTTTAGTATTTATATATATTTTAAGGCTTTATAAACCCTTCCCACACTCTTGCAATGTTCTTAATGTTCTAAAATCTCTAAACGCTCTAAGAGCGCAGAGAAAGAGAGCAGACAGATTGATGCTACGGTTACTGAGCCAATCGAACTGACCATCAGGAGCACTGGGACATTTTCCGGTGGCCTGGCCTACTTTGGACTCGACCAAAGGTTTGGTTTGGGTTGCGGTTTGGGTTGCGCTTGATTCTTTTAAATAAACAATCTGTGCCGCTAACTCAGGTATCCGCCTCACTGAAGCTACCTGAGCAGTAGGAATGGGGAAAGACAAACCCCACCCCGCCCCCTCCTTTCTTTTTCTGAGGCTGTCTGTCACAGCAGAGTGGAGACAAACAATAGGTTTTGCACCTACCTGTTGTGTGTCTGCTCTGCTATGACAACCTCAGAAAGAGAAAGGAGGGGGGCCCTCTGCAATCACTGAGTGGGCCAGGCCACCGGGAAATGTCCCGGTACTCCCGATGGCCAGTCCGCACCTCAGCACAATGCTAGGGTTGGTCACCTTCCATCAATCAGCCAATCGTGTTGTGTGCAATCTTACGTTGAAAACCTGTGAAAGAGGGAGTCTGCTAAAGTCGAACTGCGAAGTATCGAGGGACTACTGTACGTTTAAAGTGAACAGAGATAGTTGGTCAATAGTTTGTATTCAGTTTAAATAATGGCAGCTTATGAAAATACTGCTCTTTTATCATTACTTACTCAAATACAACTGAGGCTCCATCCATCCATCCATCCACCCACCCATCCATCCATCCATCAACTATCAACTGTGGAGGTGATTGAAGTCCAGTGAGTTGAGACTGGTCAAACACAGCAATGCTTTATCTAATCAAACTTTGTTATAAAGCACATTTCACACAACTGTGTGTAACACTAACATCAGATTAAAAAAATCATTAAAGAAAAGTGACTAACAAGCTGACAAGAATCAAATATAAGATTGTTTATAACATCAACAAGCTGCTAGAGGACTGAGCAACGGTGAATGTAAGATGAAGGAACTGAGGAATCGCTTACTGTCCAAGTTTTAGTGAGCCTGTAGCCTTGTAGCCTCAGTTTCCTGTTCTTAGCTGACATGAGTGGCACTTGGTGCTGTCTTCTGCTGCTGTAGCTCATCTGCTTTCAGGATGGATGTGTTTTACAATGAGATAGTTTTCTGTAGACCTTGTTTGAAATGAGTGGTTATTTGATCTACTGTTGCCTTTCTATCATCTAAAACCAGTCTTCCCATTCTCCTTTGACTTCCGACATCAACAAGACATTATCGTTCACACTTATCGCTTACTGAATATTTTCCATTTTTCTGACCATTTCCTGTAAACCTTAAAGACAGTTCAGCAATGTTCAGTCAGGTCATCTGAACGATTTCTTTTTTTTACGGAGACGTTTCTTCCTTCATCCAAAGGACTTCTTCAATCAACCTTCCATTATGAAGTATGCTGTTTTTAGGAATCAGTTTATTTGGTGGCTGACTCCTCAGATTAAAGAAGTCCTTTGGATGAAGGATGAAATGTCTCAGTAAAAAAAGAAACGGTCCAGATGACCTGACTGAACATTGTTGGATTTTTACCTGGATTATTGAGCATGAACTTTGGTGCCTTAAAGACGGTTGTGTTAAGAAATCCTAATAGATGAGCAGTTTCAAAAATACAAACCAACCCATCTGCCGCCAACAATCAAGTCACCTAAATCCCCTTGTCTTCCCTGTTCTGATCGTCGTCCTCCTCTTTACCACTAGATGCTTTAATGCAGAGTTGCTGCCATGTGACTGGTTGATTTGCCATTTGTTTTAAGAAACAAATGAACAGATGGACCTAATAAAGTGGACAGTGAGTGGAGATCATCCGTTAAATTTATTAAACCTTTATTTTACCAGAAAGAAATCCATTGAGATTATTAATCTCTTTTACAAGGATGTCCTGGAATCAAATCATTAGTTTTGCCTTTTGGCTCAGCTTCTTCTTCACCACGACAGAACAGACCAACACCCTCATTATTGCAATCAAGTCCCCAATTCGTCAATCTTATCTCCCGCTCTGCTTTGCCATGACTCTTGAGCAAAACTACCAGATACTTGAACTCTGCTTGAGGCAAAGACTCACCCCCAACATAGAGGGAACATTCATCTATCAAAGGTACATCTGTGTTATTCTCGAAAGAAAAAGGATGAGTTTTTGTTTATGTATGTTCAAAACGGCTTAAGAGTTGTTGGAAATTGAAACCAACTTGATTTAGCTTTTTTTTTCAATCACAGTGATGGGAAGAAACTTTCCCATGTTTTGTCCCAATGTTGTCCTCATCAAATTCGTAACGACTAATAAATATCTGACGTTCTTGTATCATTCTCTTAAAAGTTGCAAAAGTAAAGGATAACCAGATTATTTGTATTTATATTTTGCTCAGTTACAAAGTATTTGGCTGCTTGTATATTTTGTGGTACTTGTTTTACTTCCCAAATACATTTAAAACATCTTAGAGCATCAAACCTTGTAAAAAAAGTTTTTCCTCTTACTGAGAACCTCTGAACTGATTTTCCGCAGGCTCATACTGCTACCAGTTACAGAGTTTTAAACCACAGACATGGCACTCATCACACAAAGATCTTCCTCCGTGTGTGTGCTTAACAATAAAACAAGCTCCTACTCTTAAAGACAAAACCAATTATTTCTGTGAGCGGTCAAAAGTTCCCCTCAGAATGCTTTCAAGTTCAGGAAGTGTGACATTTTTTGAAAAATGGCTGAAATTAGTCAATTTTCTGCTTTGTTCTTTTGTGTTTTCAGACATTTTTGGGGTCATTTTTGGTGCTAACTTTCTGCTGTGTTGGCCGTCTGTTTCGATGCTGGGTTTGATACAGATGGGGAGCACACCAGCAGACAGCTCGTGTTGCAGAGACAGTGGAGAAAGTAGAATTCAATATTAGAAGAACTTTAATGTGGAGCAGCTCCTTTAAAATTCAGCGCACACATTTAAAGTTAGAGCATCATCCTTGTGAGAATAAAACCTGAAAAGAACACAGTGGTGGTAATTATCATCATTTATCAAATACAGGGGAGACAACAACACTACCAGGCTGATCTATTGGTTTCCTGAGGTTTATTGATTTGTAGAGAGGTGATAAGGAATAAAAAGACAAAGTAGGTGTTTTGTTTTTTTCTCCTGCTGTGTTTTTTTATTTTAGTTACTTTCAAGAAGCTTCACAGCTCGATCCAGGCAGCAAGAGACAAATATTTTCAATACCAGCAGATTCAGTCTTGATAAAGTTTCATGATCATTGGGGAGTGGTGGCGCAGAGGCTAGAGAAGTTGGGCATGTGATCAGAAGATTGCCGGTTCAAGCCCCGGTACCGACAACATCAAAAATGTGGGTGAGGTAGGTGAAGCACCCACACCTGCCCCCACCCTCATTCGCCCCACTCTGGGCCCATGAGCAAGGTCCTTAACCCCCATCTGCTCCCTAAACAGGTCTCTCTTGATAATGAGTCCTCGTAGCTCAATGAGACTACCTGCATAAATAAAAGGTAAATGAAAAAAAAATTGTCCACCTGTGTCTGTGTGTCTTCATGTGTTCATCTGTCAGCAAATTATTCCATGAACCACTGGACTGATTTTAATGAAACTTTCAGAATTTAATTACTGGACATTCACCTACAACTAGGCCTGTCACAATAACACATTTTGCTGGACGATTAATTGTCTCAGAAATTATTGCAATAAACATTAATATTGTTTGAAATGTGACAATAATTAGTAATTATTGTCGAATTTAAAAAGAAATGTTGGTTAATTTTTGTGTGTAGTACCTTTTTTGACCATTGGATGGCAGTATAAGACTGTTTGAACTGAAGGATGGATAGTGAGGGAGCGAGCAGCGTGTCTCTTTAAGAAAAATGAGAGGGAGGCCCCTTGACGTGACATGGGCTGTCTCTCATTCCTGTTTTTCTGTTCTCAAAATGGCAGACAGAGTTTGAGCTCTTTAGTGTAGCACTTGTCACACAAAGCTTTTAATAAAACATCAGTAAACAACTTCTCAGCTTCTTTTTGCAGAGAAAAACAACTTTTTACACGAAGGCACGGGTTTCAACTGTGAATTTTGGAGCTTTGACAAGACGGAGGTTTTTTCCCGAGGTTGGCCTGTTAGCTTAGCTTCTCAGTTTAGCTGCTTTTAACGATCCAAAAACATGATTTTGAATGGTTAAAACAGATTTTAAAGAGAAAGGGAGGGGACAGTGAAGAGCACTGGAGTTGAGCCTTTTGTCAACCAGTGTCCTGTAGAAATAGAGAGACAAAGAAACGATAAAGTTGATAAATGAAAATGAGGTAGATAATTTTCATTTATCATGCTATTAATTGATTTATTGTTTAATAATAATAATAATAATAATGTCATCACATTGTCATCACTGTATGTTTCCATACAATGGCAAAATTAGTCTCTGCATTTAACCCATCCACCACCAGGTGGTGCAGTGGGCAGCTATTGAGGGCACCCGGGGGGCATTTTGGGGATAGGATGTGCTGCACAGAGACACCACGAGGTATGCAGTTACCAGGGATCAAATCTGGGACTTTCGGGTCCCAAGCCGGCTGCCCTGCCTCTACACCATCTCGGCCCCCATATCACGACAAGCCTACCTACAACTGATTATTTGGAGTCAGTCTGATTCAAAATGATTGCCGCAGCAAAGAGACTCTCGCAAGCACAAAAAATGGCTACAACACAGCCAGTTTCAAAGATATTGAGCTACAGTTTGGTGTGGTAGTAGCTGAGAATCAACACCATCCTGTACTATGAGCACTAACACATCGCACAGATTTTATTTTATAAATTTGACATGCACAGTCTCGATGAGCTCTAATTAGATTTACGTGGAGTTTGATTTCAGCAGTTTTTACACCTCGTGCTGCTTCCTTTTTTTTTTTTTTTTTATCAAAAAACGTTACGCAGAAAACAGATTGTCATACACCTTCCATGCTGGGCTTCCTCTTTTTTTAACGGAGAAATGTTAACTCTTTTACATGCCAGGTTTATAAAACAATAAAACACCCACAATGCACTGCACCTGATTGATGAGTGTTTGGAAAAATGGACCCTCAGATTTGACTGCAGGCTGTGGAGAGAAATCAGGAAAGGGCTGAGCTGAAAGTTTGCTTGGCGTCCACTTTGTTTTCTGTCCTTTTTTTACTTTAAAACACGCATGCACACAAACGCATACACACACTGGCACACACACACTCCAACCAGTCCATTTGTGACTATGTTTTCATTCCTTTGTGTCAAACCGCAGTGATCTCATCTCTTCATCAGGCAGTTTGTTATGTGTGTCTGTTAATAGCTGCTTCCCTTCCTCTTTGGCTCTGTTTGCCTCTGGCTGTCACACAGAGGCAGGCATGCATGCACAAAAAGACTTAAAACTCTCCCACTCTGTAGCACTGACTTCCCTCCAACAAGGCTTCCTATTCTACATCTCCTCAACATCTATTAAATATGCACCTTCAGTTTGAACTCACAGATGTATACACACACGTTCTTGTCACTGTTGAGTGTTAATGCAGCCTCTATGAGGATTAGAACTGGTCTGAGTCGGAGAATAAAAACGCTCCTGGGAAATCCCTTCCAGGGGTCAGGAGCTGCAGCCCCTGCCCCAGCAGTGCCCAGGGGCTCGTGTGGCCCTTTTTGCTGTTCTGGTTGGTTCTCATTACAGCAGGCCCCACAGACCCCCTAAGGTCAACTCGTTTGTCCAGTCAGTGGCATTCATGCTACAGAAATTGTTTTTTTTTTTCACTATAATATCCGCACTGTGCAAGTTTTCACACGATGGTGTTGAGTGAGGATACTATGTCCTCAGTAAACTTGTGTTCATGGCAAAGTGTGTTTCTTATTCTGCGGTCTGGAATTACAAATAATTTTGTCCAAACTGACATACTACAGTTATATCCTTTTACTTTGATAGAAGAGCAGACATAAAACATTTGTTAAATAATACTATTCAGTTTACAGAATGAAACTAGCATTAAACAAAGACATATCATGCACTGACTTGCATGCCAAAGTTTAAAACAAAGCTCTTATTAAATCTGTTAAATGGTAAATGGACTTATACAGTATAGCACCTTTCTATCTAATCAAGATACACAAAGCGTTTTACACTACAATCTGCCTCATTTACCCATTCATACAGCTCTCTACTAGATCTATACAAAGAATAATCAGAGCTTTATCACATTCATACACTGATGGGACACACATCGGAGGCAGTGAGGGTTTCAGTGTCTTACCCAGGGACACTTTGGCATGTGACTGCTGGTGGAATCGAACCCCCAACTCTTGCATTGGAGGACGACTGCTCTAACCACTCAGCTACAGCCACCCCTAAATGAAATGAACACACATAAACACAGACATTTACACAATTGTGTTAAGTCAGGTCCTCTGGATGGATTATTTGTCCAGAGGACCTGACTTAGCTTTTTTAGACTTTTCTACTTGTATTATTAAGCATGCATCAGGAAATTATGTGGGTGATAAAAATGTAGCTTTAAAGCCTGGTGGAGTAACATTTTTTTCCCGTTCTCTGTCCTGTTTCAGGTCAGCTGATCGATCGAGCCCTTCTCTCCTCCATGTTGAACCCGGGTGAACAGTGGCAGGCGTATCGTCACCACGGACGTATTCTCACCCTGGAGTACCGGCTTCGCTTCCGGTGCGACTCAAATTATTACGGTCCTTTCTGCAACAAGTTCTGCCGGGCCAGAGACGACTTTTTCGGTCACTTCAGCTGTGACCTGAGTGGCTCCAAGGTCTGCATGGAGGGCTGGATGGGTCCAGAGTGTAAAGAAGGTAACACAGCATTTACACAAGTTTAAGAATATAGTAACTGTAACCTATTGTTTGTTGAGATGTATTCCACCTTATCATTGCACCTTATCCAACCATCTATCTTTAGCTTATTCCAGAGTTGGATCGTTGAGCTGGGAGGCCCAGACATTTCTTTCCAACACATTCCTAGTTCAGCTGAGAGACATAGTCTCTCCAGCATGTCCTGGGTCTTCCCAGGGGTCTCCTCCTAGCTGGACATTCCTTGAACACCTCTCCCTATCCCCATGTCCTAAAAACAATATAATTAATCTCCATTGATGCAAAGGCTAAAAGAGTACAAACATAAAGGCAAAAGTATAAATTATCATCTGATTGGCAACAGATATGGCCTATTATTAGATTCAAGGATTCAAGTTTCTTTATTGTCATTCACATCACATGTGGTACATGAGGTGGAACAAAACTATGTACACAGGGTCCCAGTTACATCCAACAAAAATACAAATTGTAAAGAAAAACTGTAATAAAGTCCAAGACATGAACTAAAATAAAATTGGGACATTAACCTAAAATAAAATAGAACTGTTCAGCACTGTTAAACTAAAGTTTTTGGTCACCTTTCATTTATATTTTATGTCTAATAATAGGTTGTTTTCTGTTTAATATTATGAATTAAATATTTCAAAATTACAAATTAAAATGAACGTTTTTCATCCCTGAAAAGGTTTTCCTTGAATGACCTGAGTCTTGAGTCAACAGGCTGAACAATGCTTTTCTTTTTTCCATTTTCTTGTTTTCTTGCCCTTGAATGGAGTTTCCTTTTAAATGATTTTTCCGTGGTTTCCTAAGTGTTTTCCATGAGGATGTCAACGTTTTCCTCTTTTATTTTGACCTTGGAAGCCCTTTAATTGTGCATAAAAGTCTGTCAAAATAAACAGATCTTATTTCCTGTTTAAAATAGTCTATGTAAAAAAAAACATTACTTAATTACCAAGTTTAAGACCTTAAGAAATATTTTGACAAAGAGAAGCCCAGCCTTATGAATAAAAAAGAATAATGACTGCACTTATCTGCTCCAGCTACAGAGAATTATTACGTTTCAGCAGAGAGGGTGTGGGACGTTATTTAGTTTGACTCATCAGCGGGACAATCTGTGAGCTGTCAGGACTGTCTGCTTTGGAAACAGTAAAAGTGAACAGAGGAAACCCGGGTGAAAACCAGGGGATCCCTGAAGGACACACAGATAGTTTGAGGACATCCTGCCGCCCTGCCCATCCCACTCCGTCTAGCTTCCTCCTCAGCATGCCGCTGATTGGACCTCAGCGAGGCAGGAAGTTAGAATGATTACTCCCATAAGTCACTTTGTTACCCCCTGCAGGTCCCTCATCAAGATGACTAGGGAGATTAAAGTTATGGGTTCGTGTATGTGAATGACTTGACCCAAGTCAAAAGGGCGGGATGTTTTTTGCCAGTGGAATGCACTGTGCTTCAAGGAATGCTCGGCATTTAGTGATACAAGGTTTCATCGAAGTTTTGTTCTTTGTAGTCGTCTTTATACACTTCATTACCGTCAAGTGTATGAGAAATTGTTTTTTGTTCCCCGTTTAATCTGCAGAAACAAGAAGGGTTAAAACAAGAGCTGTAGAAGCTGTTTTCTAGTCACTATAGTTTTATTTTCATGTGTGTTTTTTTCACAGCGGTCTGCAAGCAGGGATGTCATCAGGCCCACGGTTTCTGTACGGTACCCGGAGAATGCAAGTAAGTTTCAATAAACAAGAAAATGTTTTTGTTTTCACCATTGCTGTTTTAAATGTGACATGAACATTTATCTCTTAGGATACAATGGTTAGTCATTTTGCAACCCTAAGTAACCTCACTCTTTAGAAAGTCAGACTAGAATAGTAATTTCGTTTCAATGATTAATTAAAGTTATAATTAATTTGTTAATGTTGAAAAATATAGGAATATAATGTCTGCAACATTCTAAGATTTGTTCCTTTAACTAGAACTCAAGAGCTCAAAACAATTCTGGGGAAAAATGTGCTCGGAACCATATGTACTGTACCATACCATATCATATATCATACCATACCATATCATAGCATACCATACCATATCATATATCATATCATACCATATCATATACCATATCATA